TAATTTCAGTTATAAACGAAATTCCGAGTGAATATTGATCGATAAATGTATAATGTATAAATGCAATTTAAATTTTGTTTCTGCTCCGTAGATTTGCGCAAAAGCAAATGCCAAAAAGAACGCGACTTTACATTTTCCCGTGCGTTAAAATGCGAGTGTGCTATATCTCCGGCATGGTCGATAAGTCGTTTTGTGAACAGCTTGAATGGCGATGTCGTCGTTGATATACCATTCACAAAGTACAACGCAGAAAAATCTCATTCCATTTCAAAGACCGAATGCAGATTGATTTTACAACAATACTTATGCCCTATGCACTCCTCATTTTCCATTATACATGGTTTGTATGTACATATACATTGTTTGCAATATGATCTATGTGACTTTCCAATTACAAATGAAAAATGTCGAAAGAAACGATTTATAACGTCTATAGTTTATGAGATTCTGATTTTGTTATCTCAACATCGCCCAACGTAAAACTTTACTATTTAACAACGCTACAGAAACAATCGATAATACAAATCATTATGTATTACCTATATATAATTTTAAAATAACTATCAGATTTGTATACAGAATACATGTATTGGTTATAATTACAAATTATTGGCTAAGTTGGAAAGATAAAACTGAGGTAATTACTGGGTAAAATAGTTTTCTAATAACTAATTAATTAAATATTAGTAATAGTAAAATATTTTTACTGAGTAAAATAGTTTTCTAATAACTAATTAATTAATTTTTAATAAATATTTTTAAATAAAATATTAGTAATAGTAAAATATTTTTACTTTATTTTATAAAAAGATAATAAAAATCCTAATTTACTAAGAAATATTTGATGAAAATAAAACTGTAAATATTCTGTAGATATTCTGTGCCTGTATTTAATATTGCGTAAAAAGAAAATTGTCCACTAGAAATTGACTAATAATAAAAATTGTTATTTCGTCAAAGTTCGATTTTAACGCATTATTACTTTAAATTTTTGCACACTAACTATAACTTTCCAACTGCAATCGCACCTGCAATGTGTTTTATTATATAGTGCACGTTTATTATTATTGTCGACTCGCAAGAGAACTTTATAGAAGCTGAATAAAAAGCCATGGTTTTTTTTTTAATTTCGCAGATATAATCGTATAATCCCGTCATTCGATTGGCTTTCGCGTCCCATCGGATGCCGATATTCTCGGCAACGTTTCCGTTCATCCTCGACATTCAAGCCGACGAGGCGCACACGTAAAAAATCGATAGCTGCCTCGATTTATTATGACACACCGCTACGTGCGTCCTTCCACGCTCACCGAAGCAGAATCCGACTTCCTCGTCCAGTTCGCCAACAGAAATTACTTTGCTGAAGCCTTGGGAAGACTAACGACTACCATTGATCTGTTAGTACAGCGTAAATCAGCTAGCAGCCTAATGGATAATAGATTTAAGACGCCAACTGAATTAATTCAGTTATTAATTTTAATAGATCGTCTCCTAAGAATTTTCCTTAGTTAATGTTAAGTGTAATAATTAAGAAATCATCGATTTAAAAATTATCGTCAATTCTAGTATAATTAAATTCCATCCATTACATCTATCGTTAACTAGTAATTAATTGTTAAGTAATAAGAATATACAACTACCGTCAATTTCCATTGATTAGTTTGCCAAACGGTTATTATCATCACTAAACTATGACAAACGATAAAGTTTCCACACGGCATGTGGAATTCGTCTCAATCACATTTCGACATTACAGTCATCGTGTTCTAGAGCCGCTCTAGAGACTGCTCTAGAAACGAGATGCTCGCGAAGACGGACCGCACAGTGGTGCGAACTCCTGGCCGACCGAGAAGCTTCCGCGCGTACGAGTTTTCCTCGCGGGGTATTATTGATCTAGCAGCGTCGAACGCGACTTCGAAGCAAGGCTCGCCGTTGCCCTGGGCACACACGATGGTGCACATTTCATGGCCTGGGTGTGTCGTTACGCGCTGGACTGTCGATAGAGATTTCGGAGCAGTGCCGTGTGCGATCTCCCATCGAGCGAATACGCATAGAGAGGGAGGATCGGTCTGAGAGGGAGATGTGTACCCACGTAAAAGCGAGTATTTCACTGTGGACTAACCTCCTATCAACCGATGCGTGGTAGCGACTGCCTGGTCTGCCAAAGAGTCATCCCGTTGTGACGTTTGCGACCGAGACCAAACGCGAACAGCACGGCAAACGAGGATGTCGCGGTGGCGATACGATATGTCGGTCTGACCAATACGCGCCGTATCCACTTGAAGAAATCGAGCGAAACTCGATGGTGAGACGAAACGTCTGTCGTTCGAAATGAACAGACGCGAGGAATTAAAAGAGAGGAGACGCGAGAACAAGAAGAAGAAAGAAAAAGAGAGGAGAAAGAAAGCGAGAGAGAGAGAGAGAGAGAGAGAGAGAGAGAGAAGAAACAAGAAGAAAGAAGAGAAGAAGAAAGGAAGAGAGGACGGGCCGGACGGCTCGTACGGAAGGAACGAGAAGAGGAATCGTCTGCGAGGATGGAAGCGGCGGATGGACAGACCCTTCGTGATCCGCAAGCTAGCGTGTTCGAACTGCGATCGCTCGGACGACTGCCGTTCTGCCGTGGTAGGGAGAAGGGATGAAAAGAGGGGATGACGTTGGGTAAGGGGTGGGAAAGCTAGAGAGAAAGAGAGAAAAAGGCAAGGGTAGATAGGTAAGCAAATGTAGACATTAACAAAAAAAAAAAAGAGGGAAAGAGAAAAATATAACGAAAAGAAAAGGAAAAGAAGTTTAAGATATCAAAACAGAGGAAAAAAACATCGAGATAAAGAGCAAAAGGAGAGGACAGGAAAAGCAAGAAATTTGCAGTTAACAAAAGACAGAGAAAGAAAAAAGGAGAGAAAAGAGTTGAAAAAATATCGAAGCAAGAGGGAGCCACTATAGTGACCAGCCGGCGCAGTTATGAAGAGGGGATGAATGAGGGGAAACAAAATCTAAGCCGGTCAAACGATGGTTGCAGAAGAGAAATGGAGTCTTATGTTATTAAGTTCGCAAAGAGCGGGGACTAAAAAGCGCTGTCACGGCTGCGATTAGATCAGCAACAACATGAACACAGAACACTTTCGTTCTTTCGAGGAAAGAATAGAAAAATAAGAGAAGATGATGAGAAGATGAATAGAAAAAAATAGAGAACATGGTAAGTTCGCGAAAAAAGAAAATGAAAGGTAAATTAAACGAAGAAGAAAAAAGAAACAAGGACAACAGCATAGAAAAAGAAGTAGTCAGGAGAGAAAAATGTATGTTTATTTGCACTGGAGAAATCAAGGGACAGCGATATGAATTCCAAATCTAAAAATATATGAGAAAATAAAACAAAGAGAGATGTCCACTGTAACAAATAGTCTCTTATTTGGATTGGAAATTCAAAGAACTATGATTGCTACACATTACAAAAGAAATAAATCTTATTTTATTAGATATTAGAGAAAGCACTTTTGCAAAAACGTAGAATGAAAGACATAGAATTAGAAAAAAGAATTTTCTCATAATTAACAATCCGATACAAGGAAAAAGAAATAAAAAAAGGTATACGACATTTGCAGAATCAGAATAAAAAATTCAAATGATTGAGATGAAATAAAAATAACGCGAAACAAAGATGCATTTCAAAGCTTTTCTTTCGCAAAAGAGAGTCAACGAAGGATAGTTAAAGAAGGTATAACGCAATATCGAGGAAGATCTCGAAGCAAAAGAAGAATCTGAAGAAAATAGGGGATGAAGAGATGCATAGAAGACACAGGATAGACTAGAAAAGAATAAACATAAGAGGACGAAGCGAGGAAGGAAGAGGGTGCGTTTGCTTGCCGCTGAGGGAAGGCTTTTCCCGCATTCCGAGAGCAGGATGAGGATAGATCGTTAGGATGGGAATGAAGGGGAATAAGTGAGGGGAACAAGGATGGGGTGCGCGCGCGAGGTAGCACTGGGCCATCGATCGGCTGCGCGCGGTGATGGTCACCGCTGTCGCCGTTGCTACCACCGCCGTCGTTGCCGTCATCGTCGTCGTCATCGTCGTCGTGTTGTCGTCGTCGTCATCATCCATATAACAATTGAACATTGTACGTAAATTTGTAGCGGTGACTTTTTGCGTAGACATGTGAGCTTAAGAAGAAAAGGAAGATAAATGCAGCAATTTGTGACTGTGAGGGTGGGAAGGAATATTAAGATCAAAAAGGGTGAAGCAAAAGAGGCAAAATTGCAACAGGATCAGTAAAGAGAATTGGAAATAAATCACTCTGAGGAATATCTGCTTGCGAATTCCTGTTTACTCTCGCTCTTATCATATGTCGCTAATACATCGGCAAATGGTGGCAGATGCAATTTATGTGTCCAAGTAACTTTTTGATATCATGTGGCTAATACTCTATGCGATCTTCAAGTGTATGATCTAATGACGAATTAAAAAGTCGTGTTAAGTCATTCGTATGTGCTCACTGAATTGCTTAGCAACATTTGGGAAATTTAATTTTAAGTAGACTAATAATTTTTAAAGTGTATCTGAGACTTCTCTAAAATAAATTATATAATAAGAAATTTCATTTTTAGCAAAAATAAAACGATTATAATTTCCTATGTAATTTAAAGATTTTTTTAAGTTTTTCTATCATTTAAAAAAAGAAATATCTAAGAAAAAAGTTTTAACAAATGGAATGATTTTTGACAAGTTTTATTCAAGAATTCTCGGGAAAAAAGTTTATATCTAATTATATATAATTTTGTAGATCTAATTATGTATGGATTTTTACCTGATCTAATTATATATAAATAGATAAAATTGTTTATGATTATATATGAACAGATCAAATTGTGCATACTTATAATGACAAAATTACAGTAGAGTTGCGATATTGACTGCTAGACTGAAAATAATATATGTGACATCTCTTACAAAAAATAAGTGAAAAAAATGAAAAAATGAAAAAAAATAAGAGAAAGTGATGAAATATTTTTTATCTCATATCATTGCATGTTTCTAAAACAAACAAAAAAATATCTGACGTCCGAATCTTTCGCTAATTCTAATATTACCGTACCTGAAATAATACGAAATCGCGCGGCATCTACTAACAGTGTTTTAAGTGGTAGAAGAGATTCTGCTATTAAAGGAACCGATGATCACAATCGTACTATAGTTTTTCAGGTACGGAATATGAAAAATATTTTCTTGATGGCTTCATTGTTTTTTACTTATATTAATATGAATCATACCGATCGCTATTAATGTAAAATTATATATATTAGTAATTAATATTTATGATTAAGTATGATAATTTTAAAATTAATGAAATGAGATGCGGCTTTATAGAATAATGAAAAGGAAAAAAGACATTCAATTTTATTTTTTAGATCAATTTTATATTTTATAGGTAGGCCGATTTGATTTGAGGTTGATTAGTCCAGATAGAAAGCAAGTTCTTCTGCACAAACAATTAAAAGACGTGGCAAGTTGCGCACAGAGTACGAAAAATCCCGAGCACTCTGATTGTATTTGCAAAGAATCAGAATATTTCATTGGATATGTCTTCAAATGTCAATCTGAATCAGTCGCGAATGATCTTGTTGCAGACAAAATTTTTTAGTTTATCTATGTCACAATAAGACTCATGTACTATTATGAGTCATGTACTATTACTCTTCTTATTAGAGTTATTATTTTTTATAATAATAATAATTTCTGTTTTTCTATGCAGCAATTAGTGCATCAAGCTTTTCTTACGACTTGCGATGTTGCAAGAAAAGAGGTATCCTGTATTTTCTTACGAACATTGTCGTATGTACTGATAAAATAAATAATGCCAAGAAATTGAAGGTAATGATTTTTTCCATTATATTCTAAAGATATTATGTAATCTTGGGTTGAATTATATAATTATCGACACATGATATTATTTTTAGGACAAAATGATAAAAAAGTGCAAAGCATTATTTTTTCCCGTATGGAATTATTGCCGGAGGACGAGCAGGAGATCGTGATAAGCAAATATAAGGATGCCAAGGCTGCAGGTAATATTGGTGCAAGTTCCTCGAGTTTACGAGAGCAAAATCAATTCTTAATGCGATTATTGCGTGCTCATTGCGAGTCAAAACAAGCTAGACACGTACATGATACGGTTGAGAATAGGCAATGCAGTATATTGTACAGTACACTAGATATATATAAATACTGGATATATATAAATACATATTTTTTATTGATATCAAGATACAGTTCATAAATGAAACGTTTTGACAATATTTTTACATTCTTACGTTGCAGGAGTGAATTTCTCAATCAATATCTAAGTGTCGGCATAGGTAGCATGATATTCATGAAAGCAAAGCGCTCTCTTACGAATAGTTTCGACACTCTTATGAAGAGAAAAGGTTCACGTGACAATTTTGGCTTAGGCCCGCAATTGAGAGATCTGAATGCAGTAGTACAAAAGAATGATAGTCAAAATCCAGATAACTCGTGACAGTCATCTATACTGGATATTTCACCGGAATCGAGTAGATCAAGATCATTATGTGTTTCGCCTGAACAACAAATAGATGTAAATAACGGACGAAAGAGTTCCATGATGGATATGTAAATATATCTTTATTATACTTTCAATTCTCTTAGCATTTTTTCTATTCTATATGTCGTGTGTTTTTTTACCTGTTTATTATATTTTTTTATAGCTTTTTAAAAGTTGGCAATTCCGAAAACATCCCCAATGGACTGATGGAAGTAGCACAAGTAGCCAATAGTTCGTGACGACAAACGATACTAAACAGAGTTATGACACCGAATAAAGATCATAACGCTAGAGAAATTGAAAAAATTAATATTCTCAAAAGTTCGTAAAATGTAGATCAAAACAAAAATTACGAGACTTGTGAAAGAAAGCGATTAATCAACAATTGATATCATGCAATTATATTCAGAAAGCGATCAATGTTGCATGACGGTTTTACATAAACAATGGATACGCTAATTGATTTGATGTCTATTGCTAGGCCATCATTAAATAGAACGTTACCGAGCAAAATTGTCATGGCGCGGTTGATCTTGCAAAATTATTTGTCTGCAAACAAAAAGAACATCACGAAGAAATACGCACACGTTCGAGAATTCTACATTATTGTGTAATATTTTGTATATGAGCGATTTTTATAAGATTTATATTCTATATATTGCAATTTTTGTTATGTTAAAAAAATCTATGAACCGTAAATAACTTTTTCAAATTGTTGCGAGAGAGACGGCTATTTGTCGAATCATAAGTTATATATGCAATATGGGAAGTAATCATTTTAAAAATAAGTAACGTAGTTAATGGACCATTATATGGATTTTTTCATTTCACATTTCATCTATTCTACAGATTTATGATTTATGATTATTGTTAACTTAAATTATTATTAATTTTCTAAGAAAAAACATTATCGAAAATAGATACAGTATTTCTTTTCTTATTTCATAAAATCGCTTCATTCATAGTGATTTGATATATGAAGATCTAATATATAATTAAGATATAATAAAATTGTATCGAAAAAAAGTACAATCACAAATCAAATTTTTAAGCGAAAATTATTTGATTATTGTCTTATCTATTAAAATATGATAAAATAGACATAAATTTTATAAAATAATGGCAGCATTTATATAGGAATACATTATAATTAATTAAATATAATTTCAAATGGAATTAATTCCTTTAGATCGGTCATTATGAACATAAATGTTCATAATTAATAAGACTCACGAAAATTTATTTTAAGTAATTTGACAAAATAATGAAATATAACTGACTGTGCATTTTTATGGTTAACATATCGAGCCAATTGTCAACTCAATCGCCGCGCTCTACATAAATTAAGGGTCAATTAATTGCCAGTTCAGCAAAAAAGAACAGACCCAGTAAGTCAAGAATTATAACATACTAAAATTTCAGTCAATTTCACAGAGGACCGAAAACACGTGGTTCTGTGCGAGATCCTTTGTTAACGCAGTTTTATTTGTGTATCTGTAAGAAAATCATTGCATAAGCTTTTTTAATGCGATGCTAAGAAAATTTTAAGAAAGATTTATAGAAGCGAAAATAGATTTGATGAAATATAATTTTATTTACATACATTGGTTATGTGAACATAGATATAAAAAAGTGCAGATCGTTACAATGTTGAATTCAAAGTTTTATAATTGAATGAATCATAGATAATTAAAAATATATGTTTATGTGATCATTAAAAATATATTTATATGTCCTAAAATATATATGAAATAAAATATATATGAAATAGTAATATATGTAAAATATATGTATTATATGTAAAATATGTAAAAAAGTAATATATGTAAAAAAATTATTTCTAATTTCTTAAATAAATCGTACCTTATAGAAAAATAAGAACGAATATATTATTATTATTAATTATACACAATATTAATAGAAACACTTATTTATTTATCAAGTTTTTTATTAATTATGTATATGTATATTATATGTATATGAATATTATATATTATTTATTAATAATTATTATTTACGTAAAAAAACACAAGAGATATATTATGTAATATAAAACTATTTTTAACAGAGTATGAATATATACGCAAATTATGAAATAATTTTTTTACACATATATATTACTATTTTATTTCATAAATACTTTAGGACATATAAATATATTTTTAATGATCATATGAACATATATTTTTACTTATCTATAATTCAATTATAAAACTCTGAAATTACCATAACGATCTGTGCTCTATTATATCTATGTTGTCACACAATTGGAAATAAGTATATGGAAATTATGTTGTATGAAAAACTACGTTTTATCACATCTATAAATTTATTTTCGTTTAGCATCGCATTAAGAAGGCTTATGCAATGATTTTCTTACAGATATGCAAATAAAACTGTACGTCAACAAGTTTACTATCTGTATGTATAATTGCAACAAAACATAAATATTGATCGATCAAATATACACTGAGAGAAAAAAATGCTGTTGAATCAACAGCATAGTCTAATTGGAAATAATTGTTAATTCAATGACATTATTAATGAAACAGTATATCAGTATGCTCTTGTTTTAATAATCAAGATCTTCGTTTCATTAATAATGTCAATGAATTAATAAAATTATTTCTAATTAGACTAATGCTGTTGATTCAACAACATTTTTTTCTCAATGTATTTATAACATTGTAGTAGCTGCTCTATGATCAAAATTAAATAAATAATATTTTATAAAAATTATAATATTTTATAAAAATTATAACTTATTTGTAATGTCCACCAAGCGCCGCCAAATGCAACATCATGTCATTATTGCCTTGTGCGGACGGGAATTACTGGTATTAGAATTACATCTGATAATTTCTCACTCGGATATTTCACTCATAATCTTTGATTTCGAGACCTTCTTACATATGAGCTCTTCTTCATCTTTTTGCAATCATAACCTTAATGAGCTATTCACGTTAACGCAGCGAGAGAATCGACATCGCGGAAAAGCAGTAATAATAAAGTTCGAGAAATATGAATGATCGACTTAACATCTCCTTTTTTATAAAGGAGATGTATATGTCTATATTATTATTTATTTCAGTAGCTACTACTGAAATGACCAAATAAGTAGTTACGAAATCTCGTTTAAAATATGATAGATCTGGTTAATGAATGTTACTATATTGTATAATTAGTCTCAATTTTAAAATCTCGATTGCATATGTAATTCTTGTAGATAATTTAATTACATATATAGTATTAAACATAATATAGAGTGAATCTATATTATGTTTAATAAGAATCATTCTTATAAAAATGTTTATAAATTGTTGTATATATATTTTTATTTACTTGTTAATGAATTTGTTAATAACTGTATTATATATGGGAAATTATTTTTCTTATTTAGTTATATTATAATTATATTATAGTTATATTAAGAAAAATAATTAATAATGTTATTTATTTATTAAAAATGACTTAAAGATAAGGATTAAATGGCAATATATTTATGACGATAATATTTCGTGACAAATGTCACATTATTTAATACACTGACATCGAATGACGAAAGAAATGACCTTAAATTATCATCATAATGACATCATTTTGTTATTTCGGTATATATATA